GTGCTGCTTACTGGCTTGTTCCTGCTTACTAGCTTGCTCAGCCTGTTTTGGTAGATCCCAGGACCACTAGCTCACAATAGGCTCAGCTTTCCCCTATCAATAGCTAGTTAACAAAATTCCCTATAGGCCTGCCTACAGTCAGATACTATGGAGATGTTTTCTTAATGGAGGCTCCCTTCTCTCAAATGACTTTAACTTATATCAAGTTGACATAAAACTAACCACCTCAATGGCTTTTCCATAAAATACATAAGTCAAGAATACATCAAAATATAGTAATTCTTACTTTGAACAGTCCAGTTTTATGTGGTCTGTTTTATTGTTGATATTCTCCATAATTTTGTTTATGATTACATTTACATAGTCTTGACTTCATTTAAGAACTAATACTTACTTGGCTATTTTATTTTTAAAACACTTTGGCTTGATGGGATTTATCGTACCTATTTTTAAATAGTCCCCTTTCTTTTGACATGTTGTATTACATTATCTATTTTTGTAATACATTAGCTATCATATAGAAATCCCGTTTGGTATTTGAATTAGCACTTCTCAATGTGTGCTCAGCAGATCTTTGGAATCACCTAACTCTTTCAAGTGACATATAACTCAAGCCCTTGTTGGGCAAGCATGGAGGAACTAAGCTTGGATCCCCAGCACACACATTATAAACTGGACTTGGTAGCATGTTCTTGTGCACTCAATCTCCCATGGTAAGACGTGGGTCAGAGTCAGTTCATTCACCAGATAACCTGGCTGGCATACATAGCAGTCAACAAGAGACTCTGTCCCAGATAAGGGTGGAGGGAAACCCAAGGTAGTCCTTTAACCTGCAACATGTAATTGCTTGCTCAGACACATGAACATGCGCGCGCGCGCGCACACACACACACACAAACACACACACACACACACACACACACACACACACACACATAGACATATTGACTAAAATAAAACCTTCTTTATAGCATCCATTCCCTATAACATTTTCCACTCCCTTATTCTGATAAATGTACACTGGAATTCTCCAGAGACCTAATGATACACGAATGCATCATTGCATTAAGAGAATAGATGTTTGGGATTCTTTCAAAATGAATTATTAAATGATTGCTGTAATTTCCAAACATCAATTACCAATAGATATATTACCTATATAAACAAAAGTTCTTTGGAGTCCTCAATCTTTTTTAAGATTAAAAAAAAATCTCTCTGAGAATCACTGTTCTAGAGAATATAAAACTAATGGGACCAACAAAAAATTGTCTCTTTAAAATTTAAAAGTTTTATAATTATCCACCCTATGTCCCACTGGCACTGATGCCAGACTGCCTATTTCTTTATGACTATTAAATTTTGACCAAAACTTGAACTCATACTACATACACATGTCTGTTTAGCCAACACTTTGTACAGATAATGTATGGAGATTATATGCAAGTATATGTGTATAAAGTGTGCAATCTCCTAACTGCCAACATATGGGACCTTCAGTTTGTCTCCTTCATCAGCCACACATAACCTATGCTATCCTGCCTCCATCATGACTTAGATTTTACTCAGGAAGCAGATCTGAATCTCTTTCTTTTATTTTAAATTTTTTATTGAAAATACATATTTCATACAGTATATTCTCATCACAGTTTCCCCTCCTTTGTTTCACCTAAATTCTTTGCACCACATCTTCTTTCTCTCCCTCCCTAGGAAAACAAACAGTCCAATGGAAAAACAAGCAACCCAGAATAAGAAAGGCAAACAAACAGAAAGAAAACAAAGTAAAAAATACAAAGCACAAAAAAGCCCCACATATACAGGAAAACACACACATATACAACACACACACACACACACCATATAGAAAACACAAAGTTAGAAACCATAATAGAGCTGGTCAGTGGTGGCCTGCACCTTTAATCTCAGCACTCCGGAGGAAGAGGCAGGTGGATCTCTCCGAGTTTGAGGCCAGCCTGGGCTACCAAGTGAGTTCCAGGAAAGGTGCAAAGCTACACAGAGAAACCCTGTCTTGAAAAACCAAAAGAAAACAACAACAAACAAAACCCCACCATAATAGATAAGCAAAAGAAATAAGGTAAAATAATAATAATAATAATAATAATAATAATAATAATAATAATCAAAGCATTAGGAGACAAACTCTAAAAATACCACTTGCATTCATTTTGTGTTGGCCATCTCGTGCTGGGCAAGGGGCCTCTCTTAAGTGCGGTTTCCATAGCCGGTGAGACTCCATTGGAGAAAATACTTTTTCCTCTGTGAGTGGTCGTTAACTGGAGAGAGATAATGAGTTCGGAATTGAGGCTCATGGCCACTTTCTTTTCAGTGCTGAGACCCCACCTGACCCAGACCTTGCAGGTCCTATATATGCAGCCACACTCTGTGAGCTTGTATGTGTATCTGGAACTCACTGTTTCCTTGAAGTCTCCCATCTACCCTGGCTCTTACAATTTTTCCACCTCCTCTTCCACATAGTTCCCTGAGTTGTGAGGAGAGGGATTTGATGAAGACCTCCCATTTAGGATTGAGTGTGCCAAGGTTTCTCACTCTCTGAACAGTGTCCCATTTGAGAGTGGGGTTTGGGGGCTGGTGGGATGGCTTAGCAGTTAAAGCATAGTTAATGCTCTTGCAGAGGACCAGAATTCAGTTCCTAGCACCATATCATGAAGACAACCCACAAACACTTATAACTCCAGCTTCAGGAGATCTGCCATGCTCTAGAGAAGTGGTTCTCAACCTGTGGCTCATGACCCCATTGTGAGTTGAAGGACCCTTCCACAGGAATTGTCTAAGACCATCCTGTATATCAGATATTTACATTACTATTCATAACAGTAGCGAAACTACAGTTATGAAGTAGCAACAAAAACAATTTCATAGTTGGGGGTCACCACAACACAGGGAACTGTATTAAAGGGTCACAGCATTAGGAAGGTTGAGCACCACTTACAAGAGGCACTGTGCTGACATGCATACACCCACACAGACAGATAGTGAAAATAATAAAAATATGTTTTTAAAACATAGTTAAGTTTCATTTATGATTATCCTGGGGGAAAGAACTTATGAGAATAAGTGTTTTAATTTTTTGTATGTTATAACCTACAAACAGTTATGTATGTTTCTGTGGATGAGGACCTTGTACCATTTTGAGTTTGTGCAGAAATTTCATATAAGCACACTAATTCTTAAAGAAAGATCTCTTTCTTCATTTAGATAGTCTGGCATCATTTTCAAAAGATAGATACTGTGTTGCTTCCAAACATCATGTCGCCACTTACAGATTTCCTTTATTTATAGCTGTTGATCAGTCAGGTTGAGATGATGGTCATATCATCAGTATTTAGTGAGCTAATCCAACATTTAAATAAACTTTAAAACAGGTCAATCCAAACTTTAATTACAAACTATAAAAAAATGGTGCTAGTAATTTTGTTTTCTGTTTCTTTCTTTTACATAATAATCTTTCTCCTTTAAGGTCACATTTCTTTTCTATTAGAGAAAATTCAAATATTGACCTATCTTACCTCTTTTCCATTTATTAGTTAAAATATGCAAATTTGGAGTAAATAAAACAATAACAAGTACTAAAAGAGAGCAGTGAAAGTCAAGATTGCTCCAGTATATTGTATTAGTGTTGTCTGATTTAAAATTACATCTGCACAATTCCATGTGCTCCTGCAAGTCAGAATGCATAAAAGACAAAGTAATTTTCAAAATATAATTGAGGTTTAATTAAAGTTTCATGTCATTTTTCTCTAGTTTCATTGAGGTATAATGGTAAAGACAAATTGTACGTTTGGAGGTGTACAACATGAAGGTTTGATACACACATGCATCAAGATATAATTATGATGCCTAAGCTAATTAGCATATTAATTGGCTCAGTTAACTTTTGTAGTAAGAACTTTACATTACAGTCTGTTGTCTTAGAGAATTGTGTGTGTGTGTGTGTGTGTGTGTGTGTGTGTGTGTGTGTGTGTGTGTGTGTGTGTGTGTGTATTTGCAGTTCTGTGCACATGTCTGTTGAAGTTACAGGTCCATTTTAGGTCTTCTCTTCCATAACTCCCCACCTTGGCTTTTGAGGCAAGATCTTTATTGACCCTGATGTTCATTGTTTTGGGAATGTCAGCAAGCCTCCAGAGATCCTCCTGCATTCTCATACCCAGGGCCAGAATTACAGATGTGGACCACCACACCAGATTCTTATGTTGATTTAGAGCATCCAAAAACAAATTGTCATGTTTCTTTTTCTCTAAATACTTGTTATTATTTGACATTACTTGATAATGGTTGTTCTGACATGCGATGTGATGTCTTATAATGATGCTTTTGCAGGGGAGGGTTTACAAGACAGGGTTTCTCTATGTAGATTTGGTGCTTGTCCTGGATCTCGCTCTGTAGACCAGGCTGGAATCAAACTCACAGTGATCTGCCTGTTTCTGCCTCCCGAGTGCTGGGATTAAAGGCATGCGCCACCAACACCCAGCTTACTTATAATGATTTTTAATTCATTTCCATGAAAATTAATGAGATTGACCACATTTTTTATGTTACTGTTTACCATGCACATATAATTTATGGATATTTTTAACTGGGCTATTTTTTTCTCTCCAGGCATATGACTTACTTGTTTGTAGTCTCCTATTAGCTATATGATTTGCATATATTTTATCTCATTTAAGTTGTCTTTTTAACCCCAGAATTGTTTACTTTGTTGCTTAGAACCTTTTGATGTGATGTGTCCCATCCTCTGATGTGATGTGTCCCATCCTTTGATAATGATGTGTCCTGTAATTTGTCCCTCTGCTTTGGAAGCAGCTCTGTGCTGCCCCTCCGCTCCTGCTTCCTAAGTCAGAATGCTTGAACTAAGATGCGCTTAGGATTGGCGACCTGTAGTTGGTAAAATCTTTAAGTAGAGTGTTTTCCTTCGAACAACAAAAAGGCTGTAGACTGATTTACTTTTCATTTTTGTTCTCTAGAAGATTCCAAAGATGCATCAGCTTCAAAGAAAGACAAAGGTGAGTTTGTTACCTTTTACCCGTTTACACATTTTCTCTCAAGGATGCAATGCTTTTCATTGCTTGTTTGTTTAATTTAATGTTTTTAACCTCTTTGTACAATTATTGGAATTTGTAGGTAACATTTATGTGGTAGAATTAACTTTTAATAATATTGTCTTTTTACGAACTATGCATCTCCTGACATACTGAATAAAAAAACTAGCTGGATATTATTTAACAGTAATTACCAGGTGCATTTATTGATTAATCTCCAGAAATATTCTTTAAAAATTATCAAGTTTAAAGAAAATTTTATCAAGTAAGGCAAACCTATTATTTCATCAAGAATTACTCTTAATTAAAAAAAGCCACCTATATTAAAAGCCCTCTCATAATGAGAATACAAGGAAGTAAGAAAGGGAGGATAGGACCTGGAACATACACACACACACACACACACACACACACACACACACACACACAAACACACAAACACACACATACATACATATATACATACACACATACAAACACACACATACACACATACATACACACACACACAAACACACACATACACACATACATGCATACATACATACATATATACATACACACATACAAACATACACACATACATACATACACACACATACACACAACACACATATACACACACACATACACACAGACACACACATACAACACACACACATATACACATGCATACATACATACACACACATACACATATTGAGAAAAGAAAAAAACCTTTCCTATTAGCATCCATCTCCTATAACCGTTTCCACTCCCTTGTTCTTATGAACACACATTAGAGTTCTCCAGAGAATGTCAAAACAGGGATGTATCATTGCTCTAAGAGAATATATGCTTGAGATTCTTTCAAAATGTGTTTTAAAATGTTTGCTTTATTTTCCAAGCATAATTACCAGCGGATATAATATCTATATAAACAAAAGTTCTCTGGAGTCTTCAAATTCTCCTTAAGATTAAAAAGTCATTTGATAACACTATTCTAAGGAATAAAAATGGAAATATGGAGACACTGTACTCACACGTACACACTCATACACAGATACAATATACACATAATTAAAATAAATATTTGAAGAATATAATTAAGATTTATTCTACTTGGAACTAGTGGTTGAGTATGTTATAACCTACAAACTCTTATGTATGTTTCTATGGATGAGGTCCTTGTACCACTTTGTGTTTGTACAGAAATTTTGAATATATATATACTAATTCCTAAAAAAAATCAGTTATGTTTCCTCATTTAGATAGTCTGGCATCATTTTCAAAAAGATACACACTATCTTATTCCAAATATCATCTCATCATTTGTAGATTTCCTTTATTTATAGCTGTTGATCAGTCGGATTAAGATTATGGCCATTTCATCAGTATTTAAATGAGCTAAGATAAAATAATAAATTTTAAAACAGGTCAATTCAACCTTTAATTACAAACTACAAAAATGGTGCTAGTAATTTTGTTTTCTGTTTTCCATTTTATTCTTTTATTATAATAATGTTTCGCCTTGGAGGTCACATTTTTTTTCTATTAGACAAAATTCAAATACTGACCTACCTTACCCCTTTCCCATTTATTAGTTAAAATGTGGCATGTAAACTTTAAGCGAATAAAACAACTATAAGTACTAAAAGATTGCAGTGAAAAATCAAAAGACTGTTCCAGTATATTGTGTTAGTGTTGTCTCTGATTTAAACTTTCTTCCACATGATTCCATATGTGCCTGCAAGTCAGAATGTATAAAAGACATGGTAATTTTCAAAATATAACTGAGTTACTGTTTATGTCTTTGAATTTCAGTTCAAATTTAATGCCTTTTTTGTCTAGTTTCATTGAGGTATAATTGGTTAAAAAACTTGTACATTTTAAGTTGTACAGTCTGATGGTTTAATATACATACAAATCAAGATATAATTATGATTATCAAGCTGATTAACATACTGATTGATTCAATTAACTTTTGTAGTAAGAATTTTACATTAAAATCTGTTGTATTAGAGAATTGTGTGTGTGTGTGTGTGTGTACGTATACGTTATATGGTTGTCCATGTGTTTTTCTGTGCACATATGCATGTGTAGATTCTTGTAGGTGCATGCACATGTATGCTGAAGCTACATGTCTATGATAGGTGTTTTCCTACTTAACTCTCCACGTTAGCTTCTCAGGTATGATTTTTTTTTTTTTTTTTTTTTTTCGAGACAGGGTTTCTCTGTGTAGCTTTGCGCCTTTCCTGGAGCTCACTTGGTAGCCCAGGCTGGCCTCGAACTCACAGAGATCCGCCTGGCTCTGCCTCCCGAGTGCTGGGATTAAAGGCGTGCGCCACCAACGCCCGGCTCAGGTATGATTTCTTACTGACTCTGATGCTTATTGATTTGGGAATGCCAGCAAGCTTCAGAGATCTTCTTGTTTCCTCACATCCAGGGCTAGGATGATAGATCTGCACCACCACATGTTATGATTATTCTGGACATCCAAACCCACGCTCTCATACTTGCAAGCTCTTTACCCACTGAACCATCTCTCCAGGCACTATCTTAGAAAATTTCATATGCATGATGAGCCTAAACATGTCCTGAACATGAACCCCCAGGTGGAGTTGCTGAATGTTATATAACAGATCCATTTTTTTTATCGTTTTGGAAAACTCCATAAATTTTCTTTGGTGACCAGACCAATTTAATTTCCAACCAAGAAAGTAACAAAGCTTCTTTTCCTCTTAATACTTGCTTTATTTGACATTATTTGATAATAGTCAATTTGACATGTGATATCTTACAATGAATGTTACTTTATTTCCATGACAATACATTTTTATATCTGAATCACGTTTATTTATATATTCCTTTAATTATTTTATTTTTATAAATATATATTTAATATTTATTTATTTTATACTCTTCCACTACCTCCCCCACCTGATCCCTACTGTTCCCAACCCACATGTCCACAGTCCACCCAGAAAATCTCTTCTATTTCCCCTTCCCACGGAGATCTAAGTGTCCCCCTTTGAGCCCTCCTTATTATCTAGCTTCTCTGGGCCTGTGAATTGTGACATAGTTATTGACCACATTTCTATGTATCTTTTGACAATGTGAATACCTTTTATGGATATTTATAATTGGGCTATCTTTTTCTCTCTAGGTATATAACTTACATATTTTACATATTAATCTTCTATCAGCTATATGGTTTACAAATATTTTATTTCATTTTATAAGTTGTGGTTTTATTCTCTTAACTGTTTGCTTTGTTGCTTAGAAACATTTTGATGTGATGTGTCCCTTACTTTAATGTGATATGTCCCATACTTTGATGTGATACATCCTGTACTTTGATGTGATGTGTCCTGTACTTTGATTTGATATGTCCTGTACTTTGATGTAATATGTCCTGTACTTTGATGTGATATGTCCTGTATTTTGTCTCTCTACTTTGGAGCAGCTCAGTACTGCCCCCTTTAAACCCATTTCCCAAGTCAGAGTGCTTGATTTAGATGCTGCATTTAGATTAGCGACCTATAACTCATAAAAAACCTTAAGTAGAGCATTTTCCCTTGAAGAACAAAAAGCATTTAGAATGTGGTTTATGTTTATTTTTGTGTTCTAGAAGATTCCAAAGACGTACCAGCTTCAAAGAAAGACAAAGGTGAGTCAGTTGCATTCTGCTCCTTTCCACATTTTCTCTCAAGAACGCAATGTTTTGCTTTTTATTGTCTGTGTGTTTTAGTTTTTTTCGATCTCTTGCTATAATTATTGACATCTATGTGGTACATTTATTTTTTAATAGTTCCATATTTTTTATTAACTCTTCATTTCCTTGAATATTGAGGATGAGTTAGATGGACATTATTTACATGTAATAATCAGATACTGTTATTGTCTAATCTGCAGAAACGTTCTTTAAGATTATCATGTTTAATGATAACAAAATTATCACTTCATTGAGTGCAAACCTATTATTTTGTCAAGAATTGCTCCTATTTAAGAAAAAAGTCACCTTTAGCAACAACCTTCTCATAAAGGGAAAAAAAAGAAGTAAGGGAGGGAAGATAGGAACTAGAAAAGACACACACACACACGTAGTGCATGCACTCAGAAAAACTTCCTACCTCCAGATGTCTAATCTAAATCAAACATTTCCAAATGTCTCTGTCTGGAAAGTGAGAATTGGAAAAAGCTTGGTCAGTTTTTTGTCATTGTTGTTTGCTGAAGAGCTCCTAGCTTCTGACTTTGGATCTGATACGACACATTCATTTTACGTTCTGCTTGTCTTCTGTGAATAGCAAAAGTTGTCCAAGATTTATTTCTTCTTGCTATAAAATATATGTTCTGTAACTGGTCCTGGACTTCATTCAAAATGTAAAAAGCATTGCTTTGAAAAGAAACACGGTAAGATAAATGGATACCCATGTCTCGCAAAACAAATTTTGGGTCTAATCTTGTATTAAAGTATGTTACATTAAAATGTATCAATTGCCATTGTTATAAATGGTGACAATGACAATTGGTTTAGCAATTTAAGATACAATCATTCCTTTTAAAACTAAAAATAGACCTAATACATCATCTATCAATTCCACTATGGAATATATATTCAAACGAAACAAATCATTATTATCACAAAATGATACCTGCACGTCCATATTAATTACAGCACTGTTTACATAGCTATAGCACAGAGTGAACCCAGATGCCTGTTTGTAAATGAGAGGTACGAGAATTGTGGCGTATATACACAGTGGGTTCTGATTTAGCTAAAACCCAAACCAACCAAACAACAACAGCAAGAAAAACAACCCATAAGCTGCTATCCGCAGCAAAACGGAAGGGTCTGAAAGTCATTGTGTTAAGTGAAATAAGGAAAGCACCACATACCATCACCATGTTTTAAGAACTAGATCTCAATTGCGTATAAGAGCAGAATGGAGCAAGTGGAGACAGCAAAAGGTAAGTAATGAATGACCCAACCAAAGAACAGCAAAACCCAGGAAGGATGAATTCTGCTTTCCCATAGTGCACTAGAGTAACTATTGGTTAAAAGAGTCTATGTGATATTTTGAAGTACTGAAAGAAAACTGCAAACTCTGCAGTATATAAGAATGATTGAGCTCTAAAGAGTCAGAATTATTTATGTAGATACTAACTTGACAGTTTTTATACCTGAGCATCAAAGACCACGTGTTAAGAAATGAGTGCATGCCAGTTCTTCCCCTTCTGTCAGCACCCCAACCAAAAGGGCCAGCCTTCCTATTTATACACTTGCCAAGAGCATGTTTCTTTACCTAGGTACTCATTTTGATGAGGAAAGTTGAATTGAATCTAAATAAAAAACCTCAGGTGTGTAAGAAGGGCATTTTCTACCACTAAAATACTGTGCTTATGTATAGAAGACTCACACTGTGGACATCATATGTATCTCTGCACATATTAGTACTTACCTTTTAAATTTTCCTCCTCTAGAAGTAATTGATGATGTATCTTCCCCAAAGAAGCAAAAAAGTAAGTTTATAATTAAATTCAAAAAACAACTAACTTCTCCAATAATGTAGATACTACTTAGACTATAAACTTTAAACTGAGAGCCTCTCAAGAATAGTAATTAAAGAAAAAAGATTTTTAACACGGGCCTGAAGAATGACCTTAAAGTGAGCCATTTATATTTCAAAGAGAAACTTGTCATTTTCATGTCAGGAAAGAAGTGCAGCATTGGATAACTCCAAGTAATGATTGAAGTGTCATTTATCGCAAGCCATTCTGTACAATTCTGGTCCTGGGCTTTCTAGGTAAATCTTACTTAAATGTGAGTTCCTGTCTGCTGTATAACAGAACAGTAGAAGTGAGGTGCTGAAGTTCTTTAAATAAATTTTTGTTAAAATGTAAAAATAGGTTTTAGTAATTCAGTTGCTTGGAAATTCATTCCCAAGATTCAAATTTCCTTTTGACATCCCTGGATACCTAGCAAGCTTTTGGCAGCCAGTCTCTGGGATCCTTGATTCTAGAATCCGATCATAATTTTCATGCAGTTGCAAAACTTGGTGCTCAAGATTATCATTTTCCCAGTGCTTCCAATTTAGACTTTTTTTCATATGTTAAACAGTAAATCATGGATATATACACACATATGGATATATGGATATATAGATATAGATATAAATATAGATATAAACTAGACCTTCACCAGGCAGAATAGAAGAGGCAGTTTTAAAATAGTTCCAACAAGGTCATCACAAATAATGCTTTAAAGTAAAGAACTGAATATTTACCTGAGAAAATAATTCCTCTAGGATGTGCATGGTTTCTTCCATGCCTTCTGTAGGAAATTGCTGAAGTGGTTTATTAACTGAAAGGTTTGGATGCCTACTATGCTGCAAGCCTTGCTGGTGATACTGACATGTCAGAAACACATAAAAGAATGCTTCATACAATCAGACCATGAGAAATACAGGAGTATAAGCAGTACTGATGTAATAATTTCAGATACCATTGCAAAGTTCATGAAGAAGCAATTATTATCCATGCTTTCACACTCTGCCAATTGATAAACTACTGTTAATAATTTTCAACTAAGTTGCATCAGTAGTTGTACTCTCTTATTTCATAAATAAGCATTAAAAGAAATTTCAATATGTAGATTGTGTCCACACTAATTTCCTGTTTATCTTGCTTATGTTAGAACCTGGGTGAACATGCATGGAATATTTCTGTATCGTTTCTTACAATTGCATGTGAATCTAAACATAAATTATTTCAACATAAAAAGAAATGGAATTAAAAGTCTCCAGGCACGGTTTCTACTACTAGCACTCTAGATGCTAAGGCATGATGATTGCTATGAGTTCAAGGCCATTCTGGGACACATACTAAGTAACCCAAGACAGCCATTGTTACAGAGCAAAAATATTTCCTCGAAGAGAAAACAAACTAATTTAATAAAAAATAAATACGTTAAATATTTTTCAAATATTTTTCAGTAATTTCCACTCTTGGAATTTATTATATCAAAGCATTTTCCCATTTTTACCTTAGCAGTAGTTTTATAACCTTGTCTTCAGGAGCCTTTAATGTAGGTTCTAAAACTTTTGGAACCAGTGATATTTTTATTAATAGCTCTTTCAACTTGAGTTAGATGCATATGTCAGGACAGCACCAGAATCTGCTAAGGCTCAAATGGAACAGCCCGACCTTTCATGAAGAGGCCCTTGCATTTTAGAGTCAGGGCTGTTATTTCTCTCTGACTCCAGCAGCTTCTTTGTCACTTCCATCTAATGCACACTCACTGTTTCAGTCTCTGCAGCTTTGGGAAAAGAGGATTTGTGCTACCAAAGTAGAACAAGAGGGCGAGCAGGTTAATTTCTGAAAACCTGGTGATTGAGGCTGGACAGCCTCTAAGCACTGGAATCTGAAGATGCCCTCAGGGTGACTCATGCCTTTAATCTCAGAACTTGGGAGGCTGAGGCAAAAGGAATTTGGGGAGGCTAGCCTAAGAGGTATTATTACTTCTCTCAGCTTCTTTCCCCCATGCTTCTTTTCATTCATACAAATCTGGCCTTTTCTTCCCTGGCCTTCTGCAAAAATGCCTGCAGTTGTTTGCAATAATATACAAGGATAGTCTGGAAAAGAGTAAAGGGCCAATAAGTTTGTCTGTGATTATAGGAGAAATGTTACATCTCAGCACAGATGCCTCCAAGGTGACCTGGTTTAACATCCAGAGCTCAGGTTCTGCCCGTCGCTTCATGGAATATTTTGCACTGCACTCGTTAAAAACAAATGTATTTATTTAGGTGGAGGTGGGGGATAGGCATCTAGTGTGTGGGTGTCAGAAGACACTACATTAGGAGTTGATTCCCCCCTTCCATCATGTGGGTTATGGGGCTTGAACTTAGTTAGTCAAGATTGACAGCAAGCACCTTTACTCACTGAGTCATCTCATTGGCCTTGTCCTACATTCATTTCACTTTCCTGTGGTCTTCTATGCTTGAGTGACCTGGGTTTGGGCATTGCCAGAAGGAAGGATAAAGCAAGCTGTCTCAGCAGAGCTCATACCTTCAGAAATAAGATAAATGGAACAATTTATTACTTTAGGGCTCACAGACTCTCTGGGACATTATCACACACACACACACACACACACACACACACACACACACACACACACACACACACACACACACAAACACGTTGGTTCATTTACTTTTCCCAATATCTCCATCCTGATTCCTGTTGTTTTGAATTTTATTTTTGAACAACCCAAGGCATAATGAAGTTTAGTTCTCCCCAGGAGCCATGGAGGCTGACTATAGTCTACTGTGGTGCCCAGCTCAGTGTACATGCTCTTCTGATGCCCAGACCCTGCTTGTAACAAAACCATGCTCTCTTCCTTAGATCCGATCAGTTTCTTCCAATGTGTCTACTTGGATGGATACAATGGGTATGGATTTCAGTTTCCTGTCACTCCTGCTCAACGCCCTGGAGAGAACTCTGGGAAACCCAACTCTCCAGGACAGAAACAGCAAGGACAATAGACACCCGTGCATGACCCTGACAACTGCATTAAGAGGATGAAAATTGAATCTTCTCTTTAGTCCCCAGTGGCACAGGCAATTGAAACTATCCAGTGCTGAGATTTCATTGTAAACATTCTACCTTTCTGCCTGGCATAGAGAGATGGTGTGGACAAAGGGGTTGACTAATAAGCAAATGTGTTGGAGGGTCTAATGCTTAAAAATCTTCATGTGTGTCTGCTGCTGTGGGAGGGGTACTTACATTTAGCTGTTCTAGTCATTGTATGGTTGTATACTCATTAAAGTTTACTTTGTATTGGTCTTCTAAATATAATTGGGTAATTGACCCATTACAAAATGAAATTTTTGGCTTCAGGTAGATAGTTTTTAAAGTGGTAACAGACTGTGTTCTAGGTGTAAATGGTAGAGGAGCGTGTATAAAAGTTGCTCTTCTGAATCATGTGAGTAAACTCAGTTTACCCAAAGACCTATATGCATCATTATATTGGTGTCTGTTTCTAGCTCAGTTGTGGCAAGGTTCTACAATAGGTATGACTTACACCAGAGTGTTGTAAGTCCCTTGTCACATTCTTGAAACTCAAAGTATCAGACAGACAGGACATGACAAGGAACAAATGCTTGACAAATCGTATTTTGGGGGTTTGTCTTAAGCTACAATTTAGACATTCTTTCCTGTGGACATGTACTTGTAGTAAAGCATGTCTAGCAAATCATTCGTTTAATATGGGAATGAGGAGATGTGAAATTATCATGTCTCCAGATTATGTCCCAGTGAAAACATCACCTGGGTGAAGGTTTAGATAAATCAATAATCGTGCGTGACCAAGGCAAACATAATTTTATTTCTCAATACATTCTTTCTGTAAAATTAAATGTTTTTCTTTTCAACTGAAAACAATATAAATGCTGTAAAAGTTCAAGTGAGACATTTTGGTCCTAGATATGTTCATGAAGTGTCTTACTTTCTTTTAACTAATTGGACACTAATGCCAGTTAAATTAATGGCAATTTTTAACTTACTCATCTAGGTCTATCACTATAAATAACCGTTGAGAGTGTTCATCTTCCTGGTGATACAAACACTCAGTTTTAATGAACTTTTCTTATCAACTTTAGAAAATGTGTCTGTAATTTTTCAGCACATTTCCAGTTGCAGCTGAACTTATGACAAATTAGCTCAGGAAATGACTTACCATTTCTGGCACTATCATCAACTCAGCATTGACTGAGCTACTCAGAGAATGACCGAGCCATGTGATTGGTTTTCAAGCAATGCAACCAACTACAGTTCTTGAGATCCAAAATACAGGTCAGTTTTATCAATCTCTGGGTAAGGTGTGGATTATATATTCAGCATTAATGTTGGACCATCAATAACTTTTGCAAGAAAGTTAGTTTTAACCAGATGCTGACAGACTTAATTCACACCACAAAGGCCAACACTACAATGAACTGGATTCATGGAACCATTTGGAGGGGAAGGGAAACCTAGAAGTACATCATTTCACATCTGAGCAGATGGAACTATCTTGCAAAGCCCCTTCATTCAGCAATTCAAACTTACAAGGAGGACAGTGGATAAAGCGTTCCCCTTAGGTGCGGTTTCATCCATGCAATTTCCTGAATAAAGGAAAAGAGAGCAAATGTGATATTTGTTTTAAAATTCACATAACAGGATGGTTTATCCACTATGTTATCCTTCAGTGACTGTGTACCAAGCGCTTAGTCTTTCTACTCTGGGTCAGGTACTATACTGTGTAACAAAATACAGCAATAGATTTTACTTAGTGCTATTCTGGCACAGTAGATGACACTGGAAAATTCACTAAAAGGACTGAATCTGTATCTCCATGTGTAAAGGAGAACCATCAAAACAAACAGCTCAATGCTTCACAGATTTACTGTGGAGACAGATAGTGTCTTAATATGGATATGTTTGAAAACATTTTCTGAAATTTTGTTTTTGGAGATGACACTAATTTTATCTTCATGGACTTTTAAATATCATCATCTATTTTCTTTATGAAACAAATTGATAAAAAATTAGCAGATGTTATTTAAATGTAATTGTAGATTTAGAGAAACCAATTGTGGTGCAATTAACATTAACAATAATTGTTAAAGTTTGTCTAAAATTTCAATGATGGTTATAATTTGAAAATATCATCTCAACTATCATCTGTTTGTATCTTTACATCAATAAAATATTTCTGGCCTTTTTGAGTTTAATGGTTTGTATTTTTAAAAGAAATAGCATGAATAGCTAATTCTCCTCCATGGTTTATGCTTTGTTGGCCCAAATGTGTAGGTGACTGCTTAAATTTTTAGCTTTGTCAGGAGGATGTGAGCTACCCTGCCCAGCCCTGTACTCCCATCTTTCCCTCCATCTTGATATTTGAAGGTATACAGGAGATAAGAACACTTCTTTTAGCCCGTGCTTTCTTATTTCTCTACAGTCACGGATATTCTGTTAATCATAATTCAAATGTAACAAAAGTAATTTTGTGTGTTTTCTTCATGAAAAGGGCCTTCTGTGGACTCGTTATGATATTTCCTTGTCTAAACTCTTAAGGGAAATACTTTAGAACTGTTATTGCATATTTATGAACCCTGCCTATTTCTTTGAGTAATCTTGCTGAATAAAAAGGCAAGAAGAATAACAAATAGTGCTAGTAGAAAATTAAAAATTCATCTAGCCAAGCTGACATCTTCAGAAAAATGAAAATACTCCACACGAAAAAATAGGACATTTAAAAAAAATCACTATTTCTAACCAGATTAACGTGAGAAATGTGTTCAGTAGCAATCATGTCTCTAATTTCTACTTCACTAATTGTGAGTAAAATTAAAGGTGAACCCAACCTTCATAACCATTGTTTCATAAGAAGAGATACCTGTGGATATGACGGAAGTTACTGGTAATTTCAAAGGTAGCCCCTGGACCTTCTCTGACTCTTAAAGTCCTCGACTAGTTCTTAGGGTAGTCTTTAAAATTTGCATTATTTTAAAATTATATTTGTATTATCTGTGTGCCTGTGTGAAGCAGTGTAACTGTGAGTATGGTACTGCAGAGACCAGAAGAGGACATTCGATTTCTGAAAGCTGAAGTTACAGGATGTTGTGTGCTGCCCATTACAGGTGTTGGCCACCCAATTCTGGTCCTCTGAAAGAGCACCAAGTGCGATTAACTGCTGAACCATCTCTCTGGCCCATGAGTGTTTCTCAATGACTGTTGACGATTTTTCTAGCATCCTTCAAATCTGTCTTAAGAATTACAATCCGTATTGTAATCTTCTGTGGAAAAACTCACACTGCTCAAAAGCTGAAGAATGCCTGCCATTTTTCTTAGTTATCATCATCTGAAGCAAAACGATTGGATCTTATAGGGGTTAGGGAAACCAGGCAGTGGTGCCACATGCCCTTAATCCCAGCACTCAGGAGGCAGAGTCAGGCAAATCTCCAAGTTTGAGGCCAACCTGGTCTACAGAGCAAGTTTCAGGATAGCCAGGTATAAGTGGAGAAACTCTGTCTCAAAATACACACACACACACACACACACACACACACACACACACACACACACACACACAGGATAAGGACATCTCCTTACTAGGAGAACTGCACTGTGAGCTTGGATCTTTTCTAGTCTGTCCGTATCTTTCTTGAGCTGTATGACCCCATGTGGTATCCTTATCTTACTCAAGTTTCCTTTTTGTTATTGAAAGACTTATTTCTTTTTGTTATTGAAGACACAGGAACTTGGAACAACTTTCCAAGAACTCTTCTTGCTGAATTGCCTTTAGTGTTATGTCAATGTTCTCTTGTTTCTTTACCTTCATTAATCATACATAAGACATCCAGCTATTCCTGTAGGTATTTTCCTTTGTGCACAGAATAAAGAGCGGTAGTTCCCACAAGCTATTTAACTATATAAAAATATCATTAGTCATTGCAGTGAAAAGCCCCAATAATTGCCCCAAACCGAAAGGAAGTAATAAGTCTCTTTAAATTAGTTACCGTTTCTCCAAAGATACCAAAGATACAGCCTAAAATTAAATATCTATATAGTATAAAATGCAATTGAGCTGTACAGAAAAAACTCAGAATGAATTAAGTGAGTCATTGCTAATTCACAGTTAAGAATCATACCAGTCCCAGTGGGAGAACATATTTACAAAGTGATAAAAGCCAAAAGGGAAATTCCAGGTCCTTGCATAGCCATTTTAGCCTTCAAGACTTGGTATCACCAATAGCTCTGTTTGTGAGCTGATATCAATGGCTACCAACTTGAATCAAGTCATGCTGTTATTTTCACCTTTCTGCCTAGCGTATCCAGAGCCAACTTAAATAGCTTGCCTTCTTACCAGTAGACTAACCCATGCCTCTGATTTGAGATCAAATTGTTGTGGCAAAGAACCCCTGGCACAGAGGGCCCCTGACTGTGATGCTAGGACCAACATTGATCACTGATCATCCCTGCTCCTCTATTCTTCAAATGAAAATTAAAGGCTCTACAGAATAAGAACCTTCATCTCTTGGTGAGAAAGCACCCGGTATGGTTATGTTGTCCAAACTGTTCAACTTCTCTAGTTTGGGTACTCAATGATCTGGATGTGACCGACACTGAAGACCTAGTGTGGCTATGTAGCATGAACAAAAGTAACAAGTGAAAATCAGAACTATTAAAGCCAAACACAAAGGCGGGAACATTGTCACTGGCAAACAAATTTTCTTTTTAAAAGAATCACTGTTTTGTGACATTTTTCATGAAGTGTATGTAAACCAATGGCAAGAGACTATCCTTCACTATTAGAGGCTATTGGGGTCCAGCCTCTAATAGTCTTTTCCCAGGGTTCCAGAAGAGATGTTACCAGCAGCGAGAATTAATCTGAAGGATTCTCAAATGAAAAACATACCCAAATCTCTAGTCCATTCACTTTGTTCTTCTAAGTCAGTTCTCTGTCTACACAGTTTCTTTTCTGCTCTCATGCCTAGCTCCTCTGTTGCCTGATTCCTTCTACAATCCCCTGCTGTTCCCTCTAAGTGCTGTCTTAATTCCTTCATCTAGCTCTACCCCATCTTAGTTCTCATCCATCCAGTTCTTTCCCATCTGTTCCTCTTAGTCCTTAGTTCCTCTCTTTATTCTGCTAAGTTCTCTCTCTTGTTCTTCCCCCATTTAGTTCTTTCTCATCTCCTTAGTTCTTCCCACCTTATTCTTTCCCATCTAGTCCTCCTCCATATGGTTCTTCCTCCTCTAGTTCTTCCCTCATCTTCCATCTCATTCTTCTAGTTCTCAGTCTAGTCTAAGGTCCCTGAGGTTTACAGTTATATGCCCATGCAATAATAATGCTCTGGCTAAGGCAAGATCACCAGGCTTGAATTCCTTCTGGGTCAAAGGGAGGGGTGATAAGGTCCACACAAAGAGCAGTAATTGTCAGCTGTCATTTCTAACCCAAAAGGAAAGTGACTAGTGGGTAATAGAATCAACTGATGGTCAAATTCAGTTAATATCTAAGCAAGAGGGATTTTGTGTGCTCAAACTGTATTCTTAGAAGTGGTTAGGTAAGGTGTTAAGAGTCTATCAGTGACAAGTGAAAATAAAACTGCCTTATTTTCCTTTGGCTGCTTATCTGTCCAAGCTAACTTGGCTGCTGCTGTTTTCTGGCAGGGCAGGGGAATGCACTCAGTAGCTAGGCAACCTGAGTCACAACTTGAGGTACCTGGTAAGTAAAAATCCTTTAGTTCTGAGTTAATTGATCTAGAGCAGAGACAGTATTTGAAAGAAAGAAGGTTAGGCTTAATTAGCACATCTGACAGGCCTTCTCAAACAGACAGTCTGGATGCTTTAAGTTTGTTCTTAGAAAGTCCGAAAGGTATCTCATATAACATCTGTCCAAAGAAGGTCCTGGCCAGATGTTGCTAATGACAATAATTACAGAAAGGCTTGAAATTAGGGATTTTGACTGTGTCTGTTGTTAATACAGTTAGAGAAAGTTATACAAATACTTCAGTTTGTATAGGGGAATTGTGCCCAGTGAATGATCAAACATACTGTTCTTGGGAATAGAAAAGCTACAGTAGCACACCAGAAATTCATAGTGGCAAATGACTAATATTCAAAAGCCAATATCACCAAGACTTCATAAGCCTTGGCTTTATCCTTTGGAAAGACTCCTGGCTTCTTTCAGGTATTTCAGGCTTTGTTATAACCAGCCGAATTCCTACTTCACATTTCTTCAGCCCGCAGCACTTCATGCCACTCAGTCAACACTCCGAATAAAAAGCTGAGATGGAACAGGGGCTCACTTACCCCAAAGTCACTGGCATCAACTGAATACTAAGTGATAGGTCTCAAAGTGTTCCAGCTATCTGCTCAAAAGGTTAGTGCTGAAATAAATACAAACTACAGAATCTCTAAACCTATAGCATTGTATGTTGCTCAGAAAAGAAGCATCATCATCCCTGACCTCCTGACCTCCTCTGTCTCTGTCTCTGACTGTCTGTCTCTCTCTCTCACACACACAGACACAGTTAAATGTAAACCATCTGTGAATGTTTATTGTAAACATGGATACAGTTGATATAGAAACTGCTCTACAGAGGAGGCAATGTTTTCTGTAAAAGGGAGACATACTGAGTTCTAACAACCTTAAGAAGGAACAGTGGGAATAGTAAACATATCATTTTCATTTGTGATGTTTATATTTCTTCTTTTTAATTAATTTATTTATTTATAATTAATTTAATTTTACATATCAGCCATAGATTCTCCTGTCCTACCTCCTCCCACCCCCCAGCCTCTCCCTCCAACCTCCCCCCATTCCCATCTTCTCGAAGGCAAGGACTCCCCTGGGAATTCAGCTCAGCTTGGTAGATTCAGTTGAGGCAGGCCCAGTCCCCTCCTCCCTATACCTTGGCTGAGCAAAATGTCTCAGCATAAGCCCTAGGTTCCAGAAAGCCACCTCATGCACTAAGAACAGGTCCTGGTCCCACTGCCGGGGGCCTCCTAAATAGTTCAAGCTAATCAACTGTCTCACTTATCCAGAGGGCCTGATCCAGTTCCATGGGGGCTCCTCAGCTATTGGTTCATAGTTCATGTGTTTCCACTAGTTTGGCTATTTGTCCCTGTGCTTTTTCCAATCATGGTCTCAATATCTCTTGTTCATATAATCCCTCCTCTCTCTCTCACTGAATGGACTCCTGGAGCTCCACCTGGGGCATGG